TTCTCACCAGATAACATAGCTACTTATTCTTAAATAGATTTTTCACCTTTCTCTGCTTTTTAATCTCTTTTGCCTGCTTTCATGTTGTGAAGGTAAAGAGTAACTAGAAATGGAGAGCAGGAACCTGCTGAGGAAGTTGTGCAAGATGTTAACTGGAGGATATAGAAATGTCATCTGAGAATACACACTGTTTCAAAAGCCAAAAGGAAAACTTGCAGAGAATCAGTTTGGTTATAAATTTGTTAGAGATCCAGAGGAGGGCCAAGCTAACAGGTTACCAGAGTGTTTCACAGCTGAAGGAGAGTAATTAATATGTTATTATTCTGACTCTTCCACCTAACACCCAACGGTGTTGCTGCTGTGATTTCCAACCACTTCCCAGAACTGCATTAAGATCTCCAAGTCCCGCTGGAGGCCAGAAGGCTGGACCTGCCTGCAGGATGCTTCTGTCCCACCTGAAACTTCCCCACGGGAGCAGATGAGAAGGGGATGACTGGGCAGGACAGTGGTTGGGGAAAGCCAAATGCTTCCTGCAGTAAATGGCAAGTGCTTGGAAAGAAGAAACAGATGGTGTTACATTAATGCTTCTCCTATGTACATGGACACGTCTAGGAGCTCACGTTTATGAGGAACTCGTTTTGTTTTCAGGGAGAACAGTTGGTAGTGTTTCAAAACAGAATAAGCTTCAGAGGTGAGACTATTGCTCAATTAGCAACAGTACAAAAGTCGGTCTTGTTTGTGGTTTCACAATTTTCTTTCTGGAAGAACTGTTTGTGCAAGACAGCAATTTATTTTGATGGTTTGATGTTTTTCACTTTTATTTGTATTTCAGATCAGCTTTTTTAAAAAACAAACAAAAAAAAAAACAACAAACAAAAAAGGACTAGGCCACATATCTTGTATTTGGACTGGAATGGCATGAGATTTGTGGAGGCCAAATGGGAGCATATTGCTCCATCTTGGATCAGTGGGAAGTCCATTTATTGAAAATGCATTGTGCACTGAACAGGCCAACTGCACGTCAATGGTTAAAGACTGTCCAGAGTTGTCTCTGCGTGATCTCTGCTGTACTCTACGGGATCTCTTACCATACGGACCTCGTTCCAGTAAGCATGCTGGACCAGAGGATCAATATTTCATGCTGAGTTTATATTCAACCTTGCCTTGATTTTCTACAGAAACAAAAGAAAGGTGTGTTGGGAGGCTTATCCTCTGTATTGCTAGCGGGTTGAGGTGCACCTTTGTGCACTAGCTGATTTCTCTCACTCTTCTTGTAGGTAGTGGCAGTGGTTGATATTTTTCACTGAATACCCGTGCAATGACTGGCCCTTTCCGGAAAACATAATATACATGTAATTTTAACACAAGCACTCTTTTTAATGCTTGAGTTGGGTGAAACTTTTTCTCTACTTGGCCATTTCATACCAGAAAGCATATTATCTGTAAAATTCATCCAAATCGATATGCTTTCTTTGTTACCAGTAGTGCCATTTAATGATAGCAATATTGTTTCACTTTTTACTTGTTTTGTAATCTACTAAAATAAAACTACTTTTTAATATTATTTTCCAATCAACCATTGTCAGGCATTTTATGTTTCAAAATTATTTACATAAGTATATCATTATTCCAAAATAATCCTTTTTGCAGATGAGTGCTGCACTAAAATTTCCTCTTATTATTACTTTTGACATCAATACTTTATTGAATTGGCTGTTTCCAATTTAATTATACTTGCTTCATTGTCTAGGTCACCTTTTAAACAAAATTCATATCAGTATGAAATTGCTGGTATTACTAAACTGGATTGTGATGTTTCTATTCTCATGAAGATAATTTTTCTTTTTCACTCATGTTTGTGGAAAGCTAAATTAACATTAATTTATTGAAAGAGTTTAGAAATTTATTATTGCTGGTAGTAAAAAAAAAAATAAAAATGTACATAATGCTTGCTTGTTTAGCTTTCATAAAATATATGGGATACATTATTCTAATTAAGTAATCCTTTGTTTAATTTCTCTTTGTTCCAGAAAGTGAAAAGATGAAGTAATATTCATATATTTTTTACTTTTTAATTTCTGAGAGATGTAATCCATTAGGACTTCTTACAAACAAGCAAAAACAGTGGTCTTTACTCTGAGGAATACAAGGTAGTGGGCATCTCTCCAACACGTGTCTAAGCCCCCAGGCAATCCTACTGGGCTTGGATGAAAATAATTACATTCACAGTTGTTTTAGGATTAGGTTCTAAACTCAAATTTGGCACAACAAATAGTGGCCATAAATAAATGAACTCAAACGTAGGAGGGCGGGTTCACTAATAGCATAGATATAACTGTGATGACAAAATAAATGGTGACTATAATAAGACCATGTTGGTATTTCAGACTGCTTATAAACATCTGCATAGTCTCACTATCCTTTCAAGTTGAGACATGTTTTTAATAAGATTGTTTTGAGGATAGTATTAGCTGCGTTTTATTAACAGAACCAATGCTAAGCTGATCACCTTCCTACTTGTAGCTCTTCTACTAAATGGCTTTTGTTTTTCATAGTAGATGTCTTATTGGCAGGGCTATGGGGCAAACAGAATATAGGTTTGTATCCCTATCACTTTGTCAGTTTATGAGAATTTGTATAAATACCATTGTTCAGATTTGACTTTTTATTTCAACAGTTTTCATGGTAATATTTCTATAGTCAGTGCCTTTTTTTTTTTTTTTAATGGCATAAGCATATCTACATGAATGAGTATACCTGTTTATGGGGTGGTACATATGTAAAACAAAAGCAATTTTCTTAGTGCAGAAGCCGAGAAAGTTGCCTTTCAGCCTAGTTGCCTAATTTAGTACAGAAAAATGCTTTAAAATCTTTTAATATAAGGTCAAGCTATGGAGGAAAGGTCACATCACTGAGTTTCTCCTGCATGTTTCTCTCCATCTCAGATGTGTGTGTTTTTTTAAGCACAATATGAATATGTTTGTGGTATAAAATCTTCATTGCACCTGGTGCCCATTAGCTATATGCAGGTGCACGCTGAGTGCCTCTGCAGAACCGTGACCCATTAACTCATGGCGGAGGCGAGCTGTCCTCCTCTACGGCTGGACTTCAGAGTTGTGAGTGCCCATCCGGCAGCCTTGCTTTGGCTGCTTGCTGCCTTTATTCACACACCAGGACAGCATGCTGGAAGAGACCCAAACATATCTATATCAGGACACCTGGAGCGTCCTGCATCAGTGTTCCCACAAATGTGAGTGTGTCTGAAGACAAAATAATGCTGGTGCTAGGTCACTGCCAGTGTAGCAAACAGATCCGATCCAGCCTGGTTTCTCTACACATGTCTTTCACCCCCGTGAGATATGCAGAATTACCTTGTTGCATTATACCGACCTTCAGTCAAAGGGGATATGTGCTTACCATCATTTATCTCAAGTTATACTTGGCAGAAATTTTCATATGTACGCATGTACCAACATGTAGTTGCCAATGCTATTAAAGAAAGGTACCTTGGGACTGGTGTGCACATTCGTGCCGACTTGATCTTCAGCACTTGCTGTACTTTCAGTGAGCTAGGCAAATCCTTGTTCCTTCTGAATCTGTTTTCCATGCTGTCAGAGAGATGAATATGAGATGATCGAACCAGGAGCTCAGCAATAATTCTCATGCTCAGTTTGAGAAAAAGAGATGTTGGGCAAATCTCTGCGTGCTTCACAGGAAACGTTGACGTTTTATAAACAATAGCAACTGTGCCTTTGCAAAATGTCTCTTTTCAGTTCATGAGAAAGTTTGAAGAGTGGAGGAAACTTCTTTAGGGGAAAGAAATCCTAATGTAAAAACAGCATTTCATTTACAATGATACAATTCAGCCATAATGATAACCTATGGTATGCTGTTATGTTATGCCAAATCACGCACAGAGTAAAACCTTTGAAGTAAACATTTTTATTACCTCAGTCCCTTCGTTTTGCTGCTTTCTTCTGTAGGTGCAGGTTATGCTCAAACTGACTTTAACATATTTTTGTTTCTGTCAGCAGCTGCTGAAGTTTAGGGTAGCAAGTTCATTTTGGAAACTGAGTGTGTTAACGTTTCCAACAGGAATGTGTTACAGATCGTCTGTTTTGTGCAACATCTAAAAATGCTTTATGTTATGAATTGAGAACCAAATTTCCAAATGTCCAAATCTCACATAGACTAAAAAAGCTCACTGTCAGCCAGCTTTATTCAGTGCACATCTTCTGACTTTTACAGCAGAAGAGCCTTTATCGTGGTCCTGAGCCCTCATGCATCATCAGCAGCGGGCAGGAGTTTGTTGGATTCCCTTGTGTTTGTTTGGAGCAGTGCTCTAATTTCCCTGATGGAAATATTGAATAAAAACACAGCCTTGACTGGTTGCCTAATGTTTCCAATCTTATGGAGAGGTTTAATAAATGAGGCCCTGCAACTTTTATTTAGTGTCTTCAGGTGGTAAATTAACTACAAGAGGGCTTCCCTATTGTTCCCTGAGAGCAGTGAAAGCACAGTGAGAATTAAAAGCAAAACACTAATTTAAATCTGAGTGTAAGGGCTAGAGAGTTCAAACAGAGCCAATCCTTGGTTCTCACTAATATCCATACGGAGGCAGAACTTTATAGAAACTAAATTTAAATATAGAGTATTCATTTCAATATATGGGCTCGTTTATAAAATGTAGGTAAGTGCAAAGCATTTTGAACGATGGAAATGAATCCAGTGAATATTTTCTGATAAAAGCTCTGTCATCGGTAGTAAGCAACATACTTTCAGTGATGTGTGTTTTATGGCAGTCGGTCTCGCTACCAGACCATGAACCGATGTAAAGAGGCGCCTGTCCACTGAGGTCTGTGCTGGCTGGCAGTCTAAAGCAATGGAATAAAAGTTTTATGGGTTTTATTTTCGTGATACATGCTGGACAAGAGCAAAGAGAAAAATTCCCTTTGCTTTGTCTCCTGCTTGTTTTCTCACCTGCCTCTTGTTCTTGGCAGATGTGCAAAAGGGGCCTTGGAGGAGAGAATCAACAGCTGCATGGCAGAGGAGATCTAGCCTGGCTTGGTGGTGGATGGATAAACATGTAAGCATTGCCAAAAAGGCATGTCTGGGAAAATCGAGAGGATAAATCTGTATTAAAACATTTGCAAAATATGCGAAGTACTGGAATATGGTAGGATCTCAGGGTCTTCTAAGGTCTATTTCTTGTAGCTGGTTCCTCACCACAGCAGCGGCAGCATGTGTGATGCACTGCCTTTGGGCTTTTTCCCGTGTGTCCTACATGCAAGTGAACAGGCTCACGGAGGGGCTTCCCGTAGTAGGAGCAGTAATGGGACACCCCTGAGTCATGTAGTGAAATTCAGAGGAGTCTAATGATTGAGGGTCCTGTCCCTCCATCAGATTGCGTTGTCCCATGGCATTCAATTTTTATAAGGACCAAGGCATCACAAGCATTGCTTCCCAGGGAAGCTGAGCTAAGAAAATAACATGGCAGCCAAAGAAACAGAGGAGGGTGCAGATGGCACCAAAAAGGGTGGGGGGGAGACAAAAATACCAAAGTTATCAGAAGAGAAAAAATGCCAAAGCCTGGGAGAGTTGGGCCATCTGCTTCTGTTGCAGCATCTCAATGTGAATATGTCTCCTGTCTTTGTCTCTCTTTGTCAGCAAAGAGGGGGTGAACTATGTGAAGCTTAACATGAAGGCTGTGGTATTTGCTTTGTAAAACAGATGATGAAGTAGCCTGCATTAAGAAAAGCTCATTTTATTCACTGTGATTTGCAGACGATCCCTCTGAGCAGCGAGGGCTGTGGCAGCAATTTGTTCTGTGCAGACTTTGCACAGTAGCAGTAGCTGTTTCCAGCCTGGTCTGTGTTTTTACAGGGCAATACCTGGTGGAAAACCATTAATCCCTTGAGCAAAGCAGTGCCTGCTATCATTTTCCACATCTCAAGTGTAGCTAAAGCTAACTTGTGTAGCTATAAGTGACTCAGCTGAGTGCTTCTTCTAACCTATATGGATCAGGATAGCTGAGCTAAAGGTTGCTCCCGGGGATTGGGCTAGTTTGGGGAGTTCATAACAGAATACAAACCCTTTGGCTCTTGGCTTGCAGATGTCAGTCCGGAATGACAGGAAGAATTACATTTGCATGGCGTGCGTGCTAAAGCCAGGCTGTTCTGCACCAGCCTGCAGTACAGCTGACACATGGTGGCAAGAGCTACAAGGAGACTAATAATCCCGTGTTCATGCCACATAAACCATCCCTGGTGACCTCTTTAGTTTCCACCAGGTCATGATGGACACACTTGGGCACCTTAGGTAGGAGTTTGCAATGCTCTTGCCTCTTCTGGAGCTTCTGGGGAACAAAGGAGCTGGATGTCACGGTCAATCTGGCTCTAAATTGACTCACAAGTATATAATAGACCCAAAATGAATGCCATACACTGGATCTGGAGTTAGAGTTTCAATGTTTCAGAAGAAGGAACGTTTTACATGAATACAAATTTTGGGTGAAACAGCCATGGTAAGAGTTTAACACACTGCGAACCTGACGTGCTGATGGCGGAGAGAGGAGAGCGTGCGAGTCCCTTATTTAATTAAATAGGAAGCCTGCATGATGGTTATACCATCTCTGTGAGAGGCTCTGCAGTTTTTAGTTTGGCATGCAGCACTTTAAATAGGGGAATGGTTAAATGACAGCCACAATAACATGTTATACTGTTCATAGCAGTCAGGTGTCAGCAAAATGGATTGATTTCTATTAGGCAGTACTAAAAGAGCATTGGATTCAATTGAATGAAGTAAATGTGCTGTAATCTCTCTCTGAAGTTTCTTTCATTTTCCTGTAGTTACCTGAGAGCAGTAAAAATGTATGTGTACATGCAGATATTAAAGAATTAGAGTGCAGACACTGAAAATAACGTCCAGGAATCTGTGCTGGAGTCATATTCCTGTCTAGTGTTTCCAACACTTCTGCACAGGATGCAAATTTCTACACCCAAGCTTAAAATAGTATTTTCCCAAATGCTCAAGGAAAGATGCAGCTGCCAGAGAGAATGCAGTTCTTTATGACAGATTAACTTAAACCATTCTAGGGCTATAGAAACCAAGTGTATTGCTTTAGCTGTAAGCCAGAGTGGTTAATATATATACAATGTATTTGTTATTTAGTACTGCTAATTTGATCTGAATTTCACTCACTGTATGCTTATCCTGAAGTCAATAGCAGAGAATTTCCATCCTTGCAGGGATCCACTGGACACACGGAATAAGGACAGAAGTTTATCTCCTTGTATAACCTCCCGCTTATAATTACTGAGCAAAATAACAGCAGCAAGATATGACAAAAGTTGAAAACGAGGGCTTGCTGCAGGGACTGCTGTGCATTTTCTGACCCGTTCACAGGTAGGCAGAACTTGGAAACTGGGCTCAGTGTCCACAGTGTTCAGCTTTACCTAATGGACACAGCTTCTCTTCAGCTTGTGCTTGTACTGAGCTGGTTTTCAATTTATTTCGCAGTGAAAAGCAAAGCAAAGTATTGTTCTCCATTTAAAACCTGGGTCTTGCTGTGTGAACAAGTTCTTTTTTATTTTATTTTTTTTCTGATAGCTGAGATTATTTATTTTTTTATTTTTTTTTATTTTTTTTGCCACTTCCCATTCCTGAATACTGCTGTTTTAGAAGATGGAACGTAAACTCTCCTTTGATTTTGCTCCTCCGGTTTGTTTCAAACATTTGAATATCCTGCTATTAGGAAGCCAAATTGCCAGTGTTTGTCACAGTGTTTTATGTGATCTCATTTGTTTCCTGAGTAGAAGAAATAGATATTTGAGGTTGTTATTGTATATTGTGATTCTTATCATGCTTTTACAGAGGTGTAACTCAGTTGACTGCAGTCGAGATGCTTCTGATTTATACCATGGAAAAAGGAGAGGGGGAATAACCAGGTCATGATGTTTTAAGGATGATATCTGTAGCAGATGATAGTAGTCCACATAGCAAACTGGATAGATGCAAGATATTAAATCAGAGGAACCAATATCTCAGTTTTATTTCTTTTGAACTTTGGAGCTTTCTTTTGTCACAGTTATGAGGAAAAAATACTGTATGCTCACAGGAACGAAGGAAGGAAACTGAATTGTTTGTATATCATGAACACGAGTGTGGTGTGAGACTTTTTTTTCTTAAAATGGTCGTGAGGGGCATTACGGATGCATCTGTAAAAGCTCTAAAGTGGAGTTGTGTGCATCCTAAATAGCAGAAAATTATAGAAGTAGTAGTGCTATGATTTGATGTCCTTTTCCTGAATCAGCTCCAAACTGAAACTGCAGATGCCAGAAGAGACCAATTAGTACGAATATCAACGCTGTAACTGAGCTACCCAAAATAAGTAACTGAGAAATTGTCAAGGAAAGATTTGAACAAAATGATGGCAGGATTAAAACAGTCATTAATACTGAAAAGCTAAGATAGGGGGAAAGGGGCGATGAGCATTACAGTGCAGCTAACCATGCAGCCTACAACAGTTTTGTAATTAAGAAGCCATTAGTGGTCTGCATGCTGGATAGCGTTATCCCAACTCCCACATCATGTCAGTTAAAACACTGTTAATGTGTTTGATGCATTATGAGGTAAATCAGACATAAACTAAGAAGATACACTTAACCTCCATGCTTTTACAAGAGTTGGGGAGGTTTTTACTACAAGTGCTCAAGGGGAACATGACATCTTTTTATCTGGCTTCCCAATTCAGAGTGTTGGGGCTGACACTCTGGAGAACAAGGGGTCGGTCCTTGGTCATACAACCAAGACATGACATTTTTTCCTCCAGTGAGTCTCTAATTTTTTTGCTTGTGGAGAAGAAATCGGGATTACTATGTTTATAAAAGTAGTCGGAGTGTTAGAGGTTAAAAGCATTGTGTTGTTAGTGTGTGCGTGTTATCACCAAAATCATTCAGCTTCACACTTTGACAACGTGCCCATCTGTTTCCTACTTCCTTCATTAAGACACTCTCATTTATTAACATAAGAGGAAATGGAAGCAATTGAAGTGCTAATTTTAGCTTAAACATTAAACTGATTTTAAGTGTTCTATAGAACAAATATCAAGGGAGTCTAAAACATATATATACACCTACTGGATTTCCACTGTGAATAGATACCACCACAGAAGAGTTAGAACAAACATTAACAGAAATTAAACATGGATCTAAAGATTTTTAAGTCCCAAGGGTCCGATCTATGATAAATTAATAGAATAGTTCCAAAGCACGCACAGGAATAGTTCTCAAAATTGGCTAATGTGCTAAAATGATCTTAAAGGGCAAAACAAGTATTTCAAATAGAAAGCAAGAGAAAAAACAGGACTCAGAGACTTTTCAAATGTATTTTGTAATGTACCGCATGCATTTTAATATATAGAAAAATGAAACCCTTGTTCAGTCAGGTACAACAGAAAATGGATGAAATGGGATACATTTCACATATGTAAAAGGCTTTCAAAATGGAGAGGTATTTCTCAAGCCTTTCTAGTGGCTCGGAATGGGAAAGGATGACAACATTTCAATAGTCTTGAGCTTATGAGATTTATTTCTCCATTTAACTTCTCTGGTAATTAGTCGATTTTACTAACTAGCCATTTACGTGACAGATGATTCCTTAAGTAAATGCAGCAACAGTCATGCAAGCTTGGGAATGCTTTTTAAGCAGATCTGCCAATATTGCATTTAGGGGTTTCAGGGATTAGTGATTAGCTGATTAATATGTACATTTTTGCTCAAAATGATAACAGCCAAGGATGTTGAGATGTCTGATGTTCACTCTGTTAACAATTGGTCTTTCGAGCTGGAAAATTGCCCAAAAGGCAGCTAACTTAGCACATTGTCAATAAGTAGGTACGAGGGCTTGTATATTACGTGAAATAATAAATATATCACACAATAGTCAATAGTTAAGAGAAGTGGAAGAGACTATAATTGATTGTAAGAAAATATATGTAACTATGCTCAGTTACTGCAAAAGGAAAAGCAAATATCTGAAGTTACTCGTGCTTTCCCATGTAGCTAAAAGCAGTGTTTTGAAACCCCTGTGGCTTCACTGAGTGAAAACCTGCACCCATGGAAGTCAGTGGGAATATTGTCATTACTTTTGGTGCAACTAGGATTGCACCTAGGGTTCAAGCAATAAGAGTTTTGCAGGGAATGGTGGCATTTTACTTTTGATTTATGAAATACATCTTGCTGTGGCAGTTTACTGAATTGTTGTAGGTTTACGTTAACAAAAACAGGGTCGTATCTCTCTGCTGCAAATGCTCTGATTGCTGTCATTTGATCCAAAAAATACCTCTGCCCATCATAATCAACATGGGATTTATGGCATGGTTCCCAGCAGTCATTATGCTTCCACATGAAGAGCATTGACACCAGAACAGATATCGCATTGCAGCACCGATGGAATTTGTGACTCCTTATGCTCAGAAGTAGGGAGAACGCTTTAAGGAACTAAGGAGACATCCTTCCCCCCCTCCCCCCTCTTTTTTTTTTTTTTTATTTAAATTTATTCTTTTCCTAAGCATCCACCGGCCATTGTTGGAGAGTAGTTTGAGTAGTAGTTTGAGAGAACATTTTTGGATATTACATTGCAGTCCTCATCACTATAAGCTTTTGAGAACAAAATTCCTCCTTCCTTCCCTTTCTCTTTCTTTTGGTTAGAAACATGGAGAAAAAGGGCAAATGTGTAAGTCATATGAACAACTCATTCTTCCTGAACATGGAGAATAGCCCTGTTCTCCTGCATGTGATACAGAGAAGCTGTACACTTTTAAATGCTGGCAAATAGCAATGCAGCTAAAATACTCCAGATAAGAACAAGAAAAGCTGGAGAAAGTAAAGGTGATCGATCATTTCTTTCTAATTGGCTTTCTTGGAACACATCGCCAAAGCACAGGCCTGTGTCAGCCAAGTAAAGGTCAGTGCTCTTCCTGTACTTGCCACTGTGCGTGCACGTGGGATGTTATGCAATCTGAACAGTCCCTAGGATCTATTCTATTTAAACGTTGACCTCCCAAGGCAGGGTCCCTGCTTTTCTGCCCTGCTGCTTGAAAGCCTGCATTTACTCTCTAACTTAGCAGCAAGAGCAGCTTGTATGCCCCCTGCCCAAGGCTGCTGTGCTTTTGTAGCACCTCTGTGTCAGCACAGGCTGCTTCCCAGGTATTTTTTGATATTAGCTAGTTCTCAGCTTCAGGAGCACTTACCTGCCGTTACAGGGCTCTAGCATTAAGACACAAAGGAAACGTGTATTTTTCTTGAGTTTTATGTGTTAGTTGGAAGCTGGAAGAAAATGCCTGCCGTGACTAACTAAAAGATAATGAGAACAAATACTTCTGGTCAACACAGCAGTAGTCAGTAAGTTTATGGACACCAGTTACATTGCAACAGTATATTAATGGCATTTAGCAAGTACTTTTCAAGTCTTGGAGACTTGTTGCATATTATCTCAGGTTAAATTCAGCTCAAATTACAGCATAAAACTAAAAATGCCTGGTAACTTGATGTGATTACATGTGAAGCCATCAAACACAGAAATAATAAAACTGTATGTGCTATATAAATGTAATTTAGTGCTTTGAGAGTGATAGGGAGCACAGGTATGAGGCAGAGCATACAGTAGGTGACACAGCGAGTTGCATCCCTGCTCCACATGCCCTGAGGCTAGCCTTTGGGCTTTCAAACATGATATTGGATCTAGGGGGGGAAAAAGAATTGGAAAAAAATAATACTATTTCTCTGTTTGTAAGAAGAAAACCAGAATTTTGGATAAATCTAAAGCACTTTGTTAGCTTTCAATTCTGTTTTGGAATTAGTAAACTCCAAAATTAACTTTTTCACTGTTCAAGTTAATCTGAAGCAGAAGAAATACCTTCTTCCTTGACCTTTCAGTAGAGTCTTTGAGATTTTTCCTTTAAGAGCCTACAGATAGAAATGCTATAAATATGGAAATATTCTTACAAACTTAATGTATGTTTGCATCTGACATAAAAAATTCTGAGAGCTCTTTACTGTTTCTGTTGGAAGTATCACATTTTGGCCCAGACAAAAATTTAGCATAATAGAATTAAATGTAATTGACATCTCTAAAATGCCAGGTGTCTTACTCGTGTATTTTCTTTGATATGCATATAAATTGCAAGTGGTTCAGAAGACAATTATTGTAGTAAATTATGAGTCAATAACAGACACTTGAAGGATTTAAATAAATGATGATTTTTTTTTTCAGTTTTATGGAGCAAAACTGAAATGATAAAAATGCACAGTACTCTCAGACATTTGTGTGGTCTCCTGAAATTGCCATATATCTGATTATTTTCAAAATAATAAATGACAAGATCTTTTCTAATAGGAAAAGAAAGTCATGAATTACGAAGAAAATCTTTGTATTTAATACTGGAATATTAGTATGTTTTTATTGCCAGCAAGGTTATTATTTTTAGATTTTTAATGCTTTTTTTTTTTTTTTTTATCAAGGGCTTTTTAGTTTGCTTATATAAAAATGGAGATTCCATGCGTGTGAAAGATTTTTCCTTTTGTACAGATGGCAATATCTCCTTCAATAATCAGAAATACTGTCTAGGAGAAGAGTTTTGTACTAATATGTTGTAGAGATAGAACACGGGATAGGAAAGAAAGAAGATACGGTACAAAAACTTTAAAGCCGATTTGTAAAATTTGCCTCAAGGGATTTGTAAAGACTTCTGCACAGTGTTTGCCCACACCTATTTGTTCTGGCTTGTTTCATCATTTTACAAAGTCTTATCAGTTAAACCTCAGAACTGATGTGACTCTTTGAAAAGGGCTTTTTCCTCTCAAACTTTGCAGAACATTTTATTCTCCGTGTCAATCTCAGCATGATGCACTGGAGTTGACATTAATGGTTTTCTGTACATAAAAAAGCACTTGGTAATTTATATGAGAAAGCACTTTGAGGTATGAATTCATGTTTGATAGGCTCAATCTGAAGCTGTTTTCTCAAGAAACTAACTGAGATTCAACCTATAAGCCCACTGTTTTTATACGTATTAAAGGTCTGTATGTAGTAGATGATGCATCTGTACCCAGAAATCAGCATGGCACATGAGGGATAACTAACAGTAGTGCAAATAGCTTCTGGAAGCGTCTGAGAGGAAGGCTGCCCACCACATTGCAAAAGTGCTGCAGCCTCCTAGCAGCACTGAACAGCAAGAAATTCAGTAGTACCCCAAGGAAAGTTTGAGGTTCAGGAAGCATGCAAGATGACACATGCCAAGTATATGGAGTCTCTTGGTCCCTAGTTATTAATATGGTGCTCAGGAAGTCCATTTACATCGTCTTCTTAGTGATTATTTTTGCTACATTCCTCTCCCCACAGCGTTCCCTCCTTATTCTCATTTTGTTGAGCTATGATCTTAATGTTGACAAATTGTTTTTATTCGAGAGTTCAAAGAGAAAGACTGTTCCATTCCATAAAAGTCACTGTGGGATTTTACCTAGGCACAAGCCCCAGGAGAGTCACTAGTTTTTTTTGGTATCCTTACAGCTGGGCCCATCTAACTTAGCCTGGTGAGAAAACCCTAAGTGGCCTCTTTTGGACCATGGCACCTGTGCTTCTTTTTCTCATGTTGCATTAAGAAAGGTTTGCTGTCAAAATGATTGAGAGCAACTCAAAAAAAAAAACAACGTTTTTTTTTTTTGGTTGTTTGTCCTTGATGACCTGCTTGTACAATGCTTGAAGGAAGTTTAACCTATAATACCAGTGTTTCTATAAATCCTATATAAAACACAGGGAAAAATGCAAATTTTAAAAACAACCCCATAAAGGATTTGATAATGTAAACAATTGCAACTGATAAGAGAAGATAATTAAACGGAGCATGTATAATTTTTTTTTAATATTAAGGAAGTGGTAGCGCATGTAAGATAATTTTATTTTGTTTCTTTCACTGAGTCTTGTTGTGAGACACCTTAAAGGTAGATTTTGCTGTCATTTGTGGCTGGGTAAGGTGAAGTGACATCATAAACATAAAAAACATCACATCTAAAATCAGAACAAAAGATTTCTCTTTCATCGTTCAAATCCCAAACCAGTTCTATTCCAAGGAAAGGATGTACAGCTATAGATATAAAAATATACATTAAGGTAAAGTTCATTATCATATAACCAGCTTACATAAAGATAAATGGAACACAGACACTCTCCATTTACTGTCTAAGAGAAGTTTTCTGCTGAACTTGTGTTACATGAACGTAGGCAAAAAAAACATTTCACATGTACAATGCCAATTTTGTGGTGTTTACACATTCTGTAGAATCTCATCCACTTTCAGGTGGTGTCATCATGCCAAGCGTGTTTGTACACAGTCCCCCAGTCCCCATGCACTATGAGAGAGAGGAAGGAAATTTTTAACATTACTCTTTCTAGATGGGTTGTACCCATGAAGATGGTGGAATGAAAATTCAAGACATTTCCAAGATACTCTAAAGAGTATGACACTGAAAGCAGAGTCTTTTTGCTCTGTTTTGGGAAGAAAAAAAGTAAGAGTAGGATTTAAGATAAACAGTAATTGTTTATCTACTCTGCTTGTATTTTTCCCTCATTCTTAGTAAAGGTAATAAAATCATAAAAGTGTAAAAATGAAGGGAGACTCTTTAAATTTATTTTTCTCTAGTGGCTCCTTTCTTCTAATTTCCATGTTCTGAACTTGCTTAATTAAATCCTGGGAAGGTTATGTTATTAAGCATGGCCACCAAAGGTTGTTAGCCAAATGATACTGTAATTTATATATCTTAGGCTCTTCAGGGACATGTATGGGAAATTAGGACAGAATATGACTACACAGCTTTTAATTGTATGCAGATTTCTGCTGTTCTCCACATATATACTAGAATCTCTAGCCAGGACAAAAATAATAAATAAATAAATAAATAAGGTAAGCAATGTCAGAAACTTATTTAAAGGAACAAGAACTGGTCTTGCCTTTATGGAGTTTTATGTACATGTTGATAGAATGTGGTTCTTTATAAATTGCTCTTGTTGTAAGTAAGAAAATCTTTTACCATGCTTGTATATGCATATATATATTTGTATGTATGCATTTTTTTCAATTGGGTGCTATAATTCCTGTAATTCCCCTAGTAGACACAAAAATCAAAGACCTTTTCCTTCCATTCTTTCAACATTTTATTTGATGTGCAATTTCTCCTAGCCTTAATCAAAGTAAAAATGCATAATAGATTAGTGAGTTAGTATAAATTATGAATTGTGCATGAAATGGTGTGTGTGGGGCAAATCAAAGATGAATTTATTTTTGTTGAGGTATGTTTACAGATTAGACTGTCCTGATGCTGCTCAAGTTAGCATAATTTTGCAGCTGAAGGCATGCAGGCTGGCACTATCAGATCAATACAGAGAGTTTTCAGTGCAGAAGATATAGGTACATCTAGTAAACAGAAATAAATGGCAAAAAGGTGGGCATTTCAGTGACATGGGGAGCTACTGCAAGTTTGAAAATCAAACAAGGAGGGTGCAAACTAATGGCACAAGATGTCTCTAACATAGCTTAACAGTCAGAGCACATAAAATTGAATTGAAGAGCTATGGAAAATGATCTGAAAATGTTATCCGCCCTTTTTATCCTTTTTCTATTTTGCTGCTGAGGCTCTCGGGGGGGGCTGCAGAGCTCAGTGTGGGGTGGGCAGGAGGGTGCAGCACTGGCTGTGGTGGAGAGGAGCCCAGGAGTGATGGGGAAGGGTGGACAGTATGGAGGGAACTGGGGCAGGGATGCTTCCTACAATCACGGCTGTGGTTAATGGAAATTCAGTTGTCAAAGTCAGCCGGAGGGGAGAGGCTCAAGACAAGGATGAGCAATGTAATATCTTATCTCTGAAAGCAGAAGAAAAGATGTTTGGAGGGACTGGAAATACCAGGAGTAGAAGTAAAACCCACCAGGTATATGCTGGCTGTCCCCCAAGGTGCTGTTCCTAGCCATTCATCATGATCAGCTACTTGACCTTCAAGACACAGTCTAAAGTTTTCATCTTCATTTAAGCTTTCCCTGGTTATAAATTGAGTGTAAAAGGCAATTAAAGGGTAATTTTGTGGCAGTTGGCAAAGGAACTCTACCATGCTTGTTTTTTATGATATTTTTATGGTAGCTGAGAAATGGATCTCAAGGAATTCATTTGTTCACAGAACTGATTGTTGGCAGCCTGTTATTTGTGCTCTCAATTATGCTTCCCTAGTAATGCGAACGCACCCAAAAGCCTTAGCGATGGGTGCCTAGTTTCATAAATACAGATATAATCGTAACAAAGCCCTTCATCTGGGTGAATGGATTAAGGGTTCCGTGTGTCCCTGAAAATGGATATTTAACAACGTGCAGTACAGGTGATGGACTGTTTACCTCACCTTCTGGATTCATTGTACTGAATGCTGGTATTTTTGTGCCAATTTACAAAGCTAGCACAGGGATTTGTCCTAAGTAGGGGTTCCGGAAGCTTTGAGAAGTTGTCACTGACTGGATGTAATTACTATCCTTAAGGAGTTAAGTGTATTCCATAGCTTTAGTTTAAAACAGTGGGTATTTAAAATGGCAAGCATATTTATAGAATTGCCTAATAAAATATTTTAATTTTCTAAGTAGAAAGCATAAAATTGATAAAAATATATCTTTTGATCCTGGAAACAATTCAAAATGGGTTATAGAATCACAGATACGTGGAACACATCAGTGGAAGTGTTTTTTGCTTTTCATTTGGAGAGATTTGCTGACAGTCATGGAGAATATCCTCTTCCTCCTGTTTCCTCACCAAGTCAAGGAAGACTTAATTTGTTATTTATAATTTCGGTATCTGTCTAAGAATCACTCAAATCCAGGGGAAAAAAATGGTCATTTTTTATGCTGCTGAGTTAATTACATACTGAGTAAAGTGCTGTGTAAGTAGAATAAGGATATCAGAATGGCATCTGTGGTTGAAGGCTGTAAGTCATTCCAGGTGCACAGAGCTATCTGTAAATGGCAAATTTATTTCCTTGGCAAGTCTACATGACACACAAACTAAATGAAGATCCTAATTTCAGGATAACAAAATACAACAAGTAGTTCCTCTGCTATACAGGCATGAAAATCTCCACAATCATAATACATATGGAAATTTTATTTGTCCCATTTGCTTAAGAATTTTCTTTTAAGCCTTCATCTTTTTTAACATCAAAATGAAATCTGATTAGACTGCAATATCCAATTGCTGCCTTAGTTATTTCCAACTCCTTTTTGAATAGATTAATAAAAATAATAGAATTTAAGATACAGTGTAGAAATTGATTTGGTTACAAAATTCCATGCCCTTGTGAAGCATACTAAAAACAAGCAGCACATGATTTAATGCAGCTTTCATATCTATTTGCCTGTAAGCATTTCATTCAAAATTAATCTTTAAACCTGATGGTTATTATTTCCCCTATTGCTTGAGAAAGTCACAAAAATACGTACTTGCCTATTTTATTGACTTTTTTTTTTAATCTGGCTTTCAAGCTCCCCGAAGCAGTGATAAAAGTCAAGGGGTTTTACAGAGAAATGGCATCCCTTCACCTGGAGTACAATACCTGCAAGTACAATAATAACAGAAAATAGCATTTTCTATCTTATGAATATTAGATTGCTCTGATCTTCAGTTATCAAGCAAGGATGCTGAAAAAAAGAAATGCCTCTCTGAGTAGCTGCCAGTAGCTAGTACCTGATGGCCAAAACTTGTTACTTCCCTGACTAGTAGCTCAGTGGTCTTTGCTGGATGGCATTAAGTGAGATTACTCAAGTGTCTGAAGACAGGAGTAGGTCTGTCCTGAAGACTTGCTGGATTGAAGCAACATGACCATCTGTTTAAAGGGATTCATGCTTCTGGTTCTTCCCAACAAGTCAGCGGTTGCAATGGTGAACTGTGCAGTGCAGGCTGCCTGTTAATTCTCCTGGTGTATAAGAAAAGAAAAAGAAAGGTTTCTTTTAAGAAAAAGAAATTTCTTTAGAATATTTCTGTCTAGGTAATTGTCTTTGTAGTAGTGAAAATCTTTTTTTTTTTTCTTTATACCTGCAGTCACAGAAAAGTTGAGGTGCTTTAAAGCAGATGCTTTTTATTTGCTTGTTTTATATTTTCCTTGGATTGTCTTGAGCATGAAGACATTTTAACACCCAGAATGTTATTACATCAGGCTTTTTATTTACCCTGTTTATTTAGTTCATGCTTTCCACTGCCTGCAGTTTCACAGCTCAGTAATGCTTTCCTATCAATGGGACCAAACATTTATATGTCAGGGTGGAATATAAGAAAAGTAAATTTGTGTAAATTTGGGGTAGAAAAATATGTAAAGAGAACAGAACGAAATACAAGAAGCCTCGGACTTACCTTGTGTTAAAATTCTATCATGGCTGGAGATCGGAGGTATCTTATTTTCATGCTTTTCTACACCACTTTTTTCTTCTCTGCTGCACAGTGCTCATCACCAATGCCTTACCTGCATTTTACAGTTTTGCTGTGCCTTTTAGGTATGAAATGATATTTCCATCAGAGAGACCGATACCTTGCCCAGATGCTGAACTTCACATTTCAAACCGGAAAGAGAAAGATCTGATAAAGTGAAATAAGTGTTGGAGGCCTCATTGCTCCTGATGCTGTACAGAAAGCTCAGCACTCACTGGCCACGAGCTTGTACCTCTGTGCTTAACAAAACCTTAGTCAAATCTTCAGACTTCTGAAGTTGTATAAGCACACTCTGTTCATTACCTTACTTCAGAAGGTAATGTTCAGCCTTCATACTAAAGGCTAATTCATTAGCTTCCCTCAATTATACAGAATTACACACGTTATTAGAAGTATATTTTTATTACACCAAGCTACTATTCCATTACGTTCATTTATAACAAAAGTATCTTAAAATAGGGAGACAGAAGATTTTGTTGTTGTTGTTGTTTTGATTATTAGCAATGTTATTCTGCTCTTAGGCCTTAGTGTGAGCTATTTCTCTTTGTAACTGGTATTAGACACGATCTAGGAACATGGAAAAAGATGTATCAAAGAGCCATTTAGCTCAGTACCCCGATTCTGGCACACGCCGGAAATGGATGCTAGAGGAGGAATATAAACGTCAGGCAAGTGATGTGTTTTGGTCAGTGGTACCTCTGTACTCAGGACTACAGCAGAGTGGCTCAAAAATTTCCTTTGCTAATGGTGGTCTCTTTAAAATTTAATAACATGTAATAGGAAGTATATGCATAAAGTTGCTTCCCGATAGCATAAGCTCTTGCATGATTATATGAAGTAGAAATTCAGATCCAGATTCACCTTACTGAACCTCACTTACCACGCTGAAGTAGTTGAGTTTGGGGCCAGGGAGGAGGAGGAGGCGTACCAGAATTATCTGTGGAGAGAAGAGAGCTTTTCAAAAACGTTAATCAATAAACCCAAGGAACTGGTTAGATATATTGACACTTGTTGGGACTTAGTAAATACATACATACAAGCAACTCTGTAATGGATGACAGGATTAATATCCTGCTGTCCTCGCTCCACGTGCTCTCCTGTTGGGTTGACTGCCTGATGCCTGGCTTAGGGGAGCAGAGCTGCCTTCAGCAGAAGGAGGTGTTACAAATCTTGAAGCTTTGGAAATAGTAACATAAATGTAAGCCACAGTTTCACTACAGATAATTTTTATTTTCTCACGATCTTGTTGTTTTTAAGTTGAAGGTTTATATTTTAAGTAGAACCAAATTATCAATAAGTTGTGATTTGTTCATTTTGTCACCGTTTTGTTCCCAGTGCAAGAATTAAATGTCATTTGCTATGTGCCCCTTATGCATATCTTTCATGCTGTGAGGAATTTAGCTTTTTAGAAGCTGTCGGAGTACTCTCTGTAGTTGCCCAACCCCAAATCCATCGACAACTTTCCTTTACCACAGGAGAAAACAGCTTTTTTTTTTTTTTTAGGGCTTGCATTGTTGGATTGTTGGATAACAATGTAGAAAAGTCGTGTATCTCATAAAAAGAGAGCAAACCTAACAAGAAGATCATTTAAAACAAAATCCTCCCTGAATTTTACAATATCACTTGAATATCTCTGTATAAACTGATCTGCAAAATAAAGAAATAACAATGACAGGGATTGCATAATGTTTTTAGGGGATAGCTTCTGGTGTTCTGATGTTACTGTGCCATTTGCTGTAGTTTCACCAAAAAATGGGCATTCGGTCTGTTATTGGCCCTAAAGCAAACAAAGTGCTAAATGGGTGGGAGGAAAGTCCCATGATAGTGCTACTGGCATGAAATGAGCTGACCCTGCTAAAATACAACAGATTTATGTAGTGCCTACCAGGATGAATATCATCTTGTTGAAGTGAAAAGCCTACTGTGAGGATGCAGGTGTATCTGAATTCACACACAATGGAGAAAAATCTTAAACGGCATCCTAAACAACACATAGCATTGTACAAAGTAACTCAATCCTAATAATAACTTTAAAATGCTCCTATTAACTCCATAACTGCAAATTCATTTTGTATGATCTTATCATAAAGCTATTCAAAAGCCAAGCAGGGAAGCTCTAAGTCTCAAAATCTTAATGTGATGAGAAGCTCCTAAAACAAGCTTTGTGTGGCTGTTTGCAGCTGTTTACCCAGCTGTCTCCAGTGATTACACTAGCCTCATGAGGTCGTTGGCATCTGATGTAGATTGAAGCAACCTTGCAACAACCCTAATTTACCCTGGGAACAGCACAGGCTGGTGGGTGATTGAGTGGGCCCAAAAGTAGTGTGGCAGTGCTGCTTGGGAATTAGCACTCCTTTGTTACTGCTGGCAACGTGGTTATGCTGAGTGTTAGTGCATTGGTGGTACTTGCTGGAGAACTACTTTGAGCGGGTATGGGGCTAGTTCATTGACTGCTAGTCAACAGCTGATTTTTATTTATTTTTTTCTAGTTAGTTAAAGGAATTTTTTTTTCTTCTTTCAGGGACAGGATTTGGTATTAGGGCTGTGGACATTCTGTGTTACCTTTCACATAAGACACACAGTTGTTCAAGTCACCTTCTGCTCATCTTCTCTATTGCCACAGCTACCTGGCGGGCACAAGGCAGGCTTGAATGATTCAGAGCAGGTGAGTCATGTTTGTTCTGTCTCTTGCAATGCCCTTGCTCTTTTATTTATGTGTTGACTATGCCTCTAATTTGGGGGTGAGTCAGTGGGTTCATCAAGCAGATATAAAGTAAGGATGGCTTTGCTCCAGCTTTTCCCCAGGGAAGCAGAGATGTGATCAGCTGGAGCCCCTTGTCTCTGAGTGCAAAACTGAATTCAGTGTGGTATTACAATATAAACAGTGTTCTCATCTGCTCCTAAATTACCTAATCTGCTCCTTACTACCTCAATAAAAAATGCACCCACTCAGCATTCAGATTTCCTCTGCATAGTGATGGGGACAGTGGCTAACACTGCCTTTCATGCTCTGGACTGATGGTATGTTACTTATGCAAAACATGGCCTACCTGGATACTGCAGTCTTGATACCTTGAGCGTGTCAGACTCTACAGCTCTTCCTTCTGCTGTGACCTTTCCTTGACAAGCAGACTGTAGAGTGGCATCCGATGGAAATGCCCTCTGTCCCTCTTGTTGAATGTATGTATCCTTAGGAATGCAAGAAGTGGAAGAGAGCAAGCAAGAAAGTATCTGGTTTGTGCTTCAGCTGTTAGAAAATACTTCTCAAGGGAAGGTAGACATTCTGGTGTATTTCTCTTCCTAAAATGATAATATCTAACATCCCTTTAATACGTAATATGTAAGCAGGCCCTGGGTGGAATGCTTTGGTGGATGTCAGGTTACAATATGTCTTCTAGGCACATTGAAATTTTCTTCTTGAATAAAAATGAAATACTGAATTTAAGTATCACTATGATATTTTGCCTTGGCTCCCAAAATATAGCTCAAGGTGTGAATTCCAATGGTAAGTTTGGGATTTATTTGAACAGACATAGCGCTTGGCACTGCAGCTGCTAGTGGAGCACAGGGGTAGCTAAGCGCTAGGTGCTTCTCAGCTGAGATACCTATGGTGATATGAATAGCTCTGCTGGATATGGCAGTAAGTGCTTGCTAAATGAGTGCATCTTGAACAGTGTGGCATAAGCTTTAACCTCTTCTGCTTCAGTGTGCCCAGCAGTGAAATATTAACAATAATTTTTAGTACCATTTAGTATCTTTCTGAGAATAACTGATAAGTTTATTTTCTGTAGTTACTTCAGGAGAGAAAGAGAAAAGGTGGAGTTTCTCGATTCTTTCATTCTTATGATATGTTTGATGGTAAAACACTTTGTTTGAAAAAGTTTAATTTTATTAATGCATAGATTCAAACAGCTTAGAAACAGGCACGTTATTCTTACTCTGTGAGAACAGTATTCTCCCTGCTATTATTCTTGTATTGTTAGAATAATAATAGGAAATATTTTTTTTTCGTAAAAGAAAGCAGAGAAAATATACATTTATATTCCACCAAACACTTTGAAAAAGGCTGCCAGCTTTTCAGATCTAAGTGTTTAATATCACTGTTGTGTTCTCAGCTCTGTACCCTGAGTTTATCCATTTCTACTTCATTCCAGCAGACCTGTTTTCAGTCAGTGAACAACAGGACAGGTGTTTCTGAGGTTGTCTTACTTACTCTCATTAACTCTAGTTTGTATACATCCTCTAAATTTTCTAATTCTGTATGGAAAATGGGTTTTAATATTTAAACGTTTTAATATACAAATGTAAACATGACTGCTTCAAAAAAATTAGAAAGGAATGGATAAAGTAGTAGCTGTAGCAGAACCTCCAAAAAGGCTAGCTATGCAAACATTAAGTTCCCACTGTGACTTTAACTCGTCCATGCAGTTGTAAATAGGCACTTAAAGCAGTGAGATCAACTTGTCTGCTACAGAATCAGGTAACATAATTAATATTATCCATAAAGTGCTTTTATTTACAGGAAACCATCTGAAAAAAAATATTTTCCTGAAGTTTATAATTTGATATTTAAAATTTTATGAAATAAAAGTAGGAAACATTAAGATTACACCTATAAATGATGCATGTTGATGTCCCGAACAGACAGTTACATCTCGGTTCAGAAACAGGAATATATATAAAAGGACACAGAATTTCTGAATTTCCTTACCTTTTATCACTTGAAATGAAGAAAACTAGCACTGTGCTCATAGTTCATGTGTTGGCCTTTCTTGATTATTTGGGGGTGGCACTGAGAGGAAGAAAAAAATATAAGCAGCCTACCTTTCTATAAACATGTCAAAGGAAAGATTAGACTAAAATGATATTTTACAATCATAACAATCTGCAACAGCCACAAATAAAGTCTTGCTGAAAATGTCAGAGAAAGTGTTATCCTAGAATAACACTATCTGCTAGATTACAATTGACATTTGATAGTTTAACAAAAAATAAAACTGCGTAGTTTGAGCCAGTGACATCTCCATCTCATCTTACTTGGTGACTAGAGCCTGGAGACAGAAGAGGACTTAGAAATTGCTCGTCTGGCACCAAACTGTGCTGTCCTGTGGCTGGGAAGGCTTCTAGGAGAGGTGGGCCCCTTTTCTCTCACTAAAGCCAGAGGGATTGTGACTGTTTAGTATAACATTGCCTTGTGCTTCACCAAGCCTTTAGGCTAACAGGGAGCTCCCAGGGTGATGTCTGAGCACTGCAAATTCTGTCCCAACTGTTCACAAGAATTAAGAGGAGGATAAGGTAGGTTTGAGGTTTTCTTTAGGCCAGATACTTTCATGTTGATTGGCCTTCAGAAATAGCTCATCCAAAATCCTTCTTAGTCGTTTTTATAACAAGATGCTCAGATATTACCATCAGGAAAAATAGCAGCTTTGTTTTATTATCTGCTGGCAATGAATTAGCCTGTTCCAGTCACTGCCTGCGCACTTTAGGTAACTACAGAGCCACGTAGTCTGTGGCATTGCTCTCTGTTTGGGTACTCATATTGCACTGAAATCTGGAAAAGAGTTTAAATGAAGCATCTGCTTCAAATGCTCCTGCTTCTGAGTACACCTTATTCAAGTAGGGCCAAGATTTAGCTTGAAATTTTAAATCATGTACAAGTCAGTGGTGAATCAGATTAAATTCCCGTAAAGCAATGCATTTGTGGGAATTACAAGCTGGGTATGATAGTATCCTAATTTTCTTACTGTGGAGTGTTATCTCACTACAAATTGCTTTAAACTTTCACAATTGATGTTGAGGTAGACCTGAGAGAGGCTGGGGCAATACTTTGCTCAAGGATGATAGTGTTATAAAAGCCTCTGTTTGGGTATAAATATTTTAATAATGTAGTATTTCTTGTCATAGAGAAAAGATAGCTAATGAATACTTTCCCTGTTTCAGCTGCTTGGCTAAGTTCCCTTTTTCTTGCAGCAATGCTCATTAGCTTTCTGGCCATATGGCAGTGGTGTATAGATTTCCCTTTTATTCCATCTATTTTCTTCTTGCTGCAGAGACACTCAGCAAGCATGGGTTAATAATGTTGGGCTGAGTCGGTGTTCGCATGCTGCTGCCCTTATATTTGCAGTCAGGCCCTTGGGAAAAGGGAGCGATGGTGGAGTGAGTCGCTGCCCAAGGCACCATCTACAACATCTTCTCTGCAGGCAGGTTTTATAGATAGTTTGTCTTTTGGCAAGAGAATCATTGAAAAGAACAAGTGAAAAAACAACCAGCTTTCACAGCAATAAATCTTCAGATGAGGTGGTTTAGTAGATCTGCCTCGAGTCAAGGCAATGCAATGGTGCTGTCTGTTGACTGTCAGTTTTGGAGCACTTGCATAGTCTGAAAAGAAATAACTCTTAAGCCTTTCATATCTATGCTTCATGCAGTACTGGCAAGCACTAGCTGAAGTAGGAGGCACCATTAAGTCTTTTCCAACACCGGAGAAAATAGCAAAGCCAAAGCTACTGGGGACAGTTGGGTGGGGAAGCACAGGAGACAAGAAAAACACAAAGTAGTCAAACAAGGCATAGTGGACCTACTTCAGGGTAAAGTTGACATAATCTAGTAATAATAAGAAAAGGGATACTGTCTGAATGGTGTATTCCTTCTGTTTGGAAAGCTGTACAGGTAGCAAGGATAGCCAAGTGACAGTAGTGATTACTGCTGATGGAGGACCCAATGCAGGGACTTAAATTGTGAGAATAGGGAGTGACGCAGCCCCTCTGGGGGGTTGTAAAGGGTTGAACTTTAGAGAACCGGTGAAGCAGTTACAGACAACAGTGCTTTTGCTGTAGGTGTTTTTTTTTTTTTTTTTTTGATTTTTTTTTTTTTTTTTAGTTCCTTGCACTGAATTAATGAAGTGCTCTGGGAGATTTGATCTAGTAAGAGATTGTGTCATAGCAAAACTTATACTGAGGAATTGGATGTGGCTCAGGTCTGGCAAAAACACTGATTCTTTGCTGCTTTTGCTATCAAGTGCTGCTAAGATGTTCCTGACAAAGTACCAAAACACCCTTAACAAACCTAGATGTGTCATTTCTTTTGGAAGAAGGCAAGAAGGTGGCAAAATCTCAAGACTGTACTTGACAGTCTTAAGTCTTCAAAATTTTCTAAGAAATCTTGCAGGGAGTGGGACTTCCAATGAGCTTCTTGGTACCTTCTAGTTAGGTTATGCCAGAAACACCTCCAGCTCTCCTCCTTTGGAGTATGTGCTAATGCATGAAAAGTCAATGAATGCACTGACCAAACAATACAACCTTTTAAAACAGTCCTCTAAAGTAAGACTGAAGCTTACTTTAAAAAAAAAAAAAATCACAAAAATCAAGAGGGATTCTGGATGCTATTTTCCTTTTTCACAACTGAACCCTTAGTACAAATTATTTCTTTAATATATAAAGCCTGACAAGTTTACTCAATTCTTTAACTGAATTAAAGTGTTTTGCCTGTTTAATGATGTGTGGCTTTTGTCTTTTAAAATGACTTCTATTTATAAGTGCTGTTCATAACTTTTCTTTAAAGAAAACAAAATGCAGAATTACTTCTGGACTGCATTTCTTATATTGACAAAAATAAAATTACTTCTAACTTTACATTTGAAAATTTGTTAATACTTTGCATGTGTTTGATCAAGTTAAATATTTACTGACAACAGATTGCATAGAAATATAAGCAAATGGTAAAGGAAAATAGCATTGGGACAGAATGGAGGGTGGTAGAAGATAAAAAAGAAATGACTTGAAGTCATCGAGGTCTATATGTAATCAAAAAGTGGCTTCATTTTGTCACTTGTGGAAGATAAAATCATTCATTTATCTTCATTTAATGTGGAAAGCTCATAGTTGCATTATGGAGTATAGAAAGGTTTTATAGAGGTCAGCTGATAACAAAAGCACATTTACTTAAAAAAAACGTAATGAACTTTAGCTAGAATAACTAGTTTAGGATAGAAAATCCAATTTTTGTTTGTTACGCGGGTACATATTGAAATTCAGTTTGTTATGGTGTATTAGACTTTAATGTGGTATACTGTTATTGAATAACTCCTTAAGTGTGTGACCAGTATATTTATAGTCTTTTTGTTGCTGTTGTTACAGGCTAACATGTCATTTTAAGAGATTAATATGCTATTACTTCCTACAAAGCTAAACACTAGTCTGATCTTAATCTGTCTGCACTGCAGTGGTTTGCATAAGAACACTGGTTGATCTTTTATCTGTGCATTTTCTCACAGGTGGATAGAGAGGAAGCCAGTGCTGTAGAAATCTCTTATGCTTTCTTGGTGAGGTTTGAAGGTTTAACATTTCTAGGAATACTATCTTTTTCCCTTGTTGAGATAATGCGACAGAGGTAGGGACGGAGTTTGATTTTTATTTTTGCATGTAGCAGTGTCACATTTTTTCTTTTTTTTTGGTATTGCTTTTGTTAGAAATCTAATGCAAAGGAAATTGCAGTATTAATAACGAATATTAGATTTTTCTTGGCAAAATGTTCTTCATGAGGGAAATGATAACCTGAAGAAACTAGAAGGGACCAATCTAATTTGGCTTTATTATGGCAAATATCTAAGGGGTATTTCTATTTTAGCCACATAAACCATACCTCTTCCTTTTTCAGCAAACGTCCATTTTGAGCCAAATTGCCCATTAGGCAGAAAAGGAACATTCCTTCTTTCAGGTGCTCATCCTCTGCTCGCGTGTCTGAGAGTACACAAAAAATGCTGCAAATGATGTGAGCAACCTGCTCAGTCTTTCTTTGTGTTGAACTGATGAGACTTGCTCAGTGTGTCTCTGCATAGCAGCACCACCCAAAAGAAATCGCAGTGACTTTCAGAGCATGCATCTTCTTCCAAGCAGGCTTGGGGGAGTCAGTCAGTAAGTAGTTCAGGCAGAGAATCCTGGGTCATTCAAAAGACCTGCAAAACTCAATTTCTTAAAGTTTTACTCTTTTGAATTCTTCTTGAAG